TTGACCTCCGCCGGATGCCGGAAGATCACCCCAATGTCACCCCAAAGTGGCGTTCGAACCCCAAAAACGTGGATGTTCAATGTGTTTTTGTATGATTTTCGGATACTCGCTAATTCGGCCTTCCACGCGTCCGAGAACGTTGGAAACGCACTGACATCCGCTCCTAGACGGCCCAAATGCGCGCCATGTGCGCCCGAAGCGGTCCCCGAGCTGCCCACAAGAGTCCCCATGACCGCCCAAGACTGACCCCACGACGGCTGGCGCAAGGCCTTGGAGACGCCACAAACGGTCCAAGATGGCATCATGCGGTCCAGGCCCTTGCTGGATGTTCGAAGGCGCTTCGAACGTCACCTCAAGAGGCGCTTTAAACCTTGAACATCTTTTTTTTTCTGTGGTTTGTGTATGCTGTTCGACTATGTTCTCATTTGGCTCGCCTGGCGTCCGAGAACGCAGGCGAAGCACCGAAAACCTTTCCCGACTCCAGAAAAGCTGTACGGGGGCCCAAGACGGCTCCTAAACTGCCCACAAGCGGCCCCATGACCGCCCCAAACTGACCCCAAGGCGGCCGACGGAAGGCCCAAGACACGCCCAAGACGGTCTAAAATGGCATCAAGTTGGCCTTGGCCCTCGTGTGATGCCCTGAGGCGACCCGAAAGGTACCTCCAATACGCGCTCGAACCCGAACAACACTGATGTTTCAATGATGTTGTAAGATTTACTACCGTTGGTTCCTTCGGCCTGGCAGGCGTCCGAAAACATTGTCAAAGCTCCGAACACCGCTCCAACTAAACCAAAACTCACTTCCTGAATCCCCAAAGCGGCCCCACGAGGGCCCGGGACGCCCCCAAAGTGCCCATGGGCGGCGCCCTGACGGTCAGGGGAGGCCCCAACACGAGCCAAATCAGCACCCTCATTCATTAGGAAAGCGCCATGAGGGCCCCAGACAAGTCCCAAACTGCCCATAGGCGACTCCATGACAGCCCGGGGACACCATCTGGACGTTCCTCAACAGGGCCACGCAGGAATTCCAGCTCTCCAGGGCGCCTTCTCAACGTTCACCCAAGCGTGCAAACGGGCGAGCGGCAGTCCCAAGACGCCCCGAGGACAGTCCGAGATGGCTCCGAGATGGGCCACAAGGCCCTCACACCGCTTCAGCAGGCCCCCTTGTGGATCCCTGAGTTTTCGCCCGCTCAGGTGGTATTCTATTGCGGAAAACCACAGATTGTCCACCACCCAAGGTTCGCAACCACTTTTCTGGAAATTCTGTTGCCCACCCAGGACTTCAGCAGTTTCCATTCACGCCATTCCGTGCGCCCGTGGCTTCCGACTCACACTTTTTGTCCGTCCCAAGTTGACTGCCCCTTTCTCCCTTTCCCCCGCTTCTCCGTGGTAAGAGCCAGCGAGCACGCCTCGAAGGGAAAAGAGGAAGGCGCGACAGGCCAACCGTTCCAAAGCTTCTAGGAAGGTGCATGGCGCGAAGTGCCAATGCAGCCTTGTATATATATATATTGTTTTTATTAGTAGTATTAGAATTATTATTATTATTATTATTATTAATATTATTATTAGTATTAGTATTAGTATTAGTAGTAGTAGTAGTAGTAGTAGTAGTAGTAGTAGTAGTAGTAGTAGTAGTAGTAGTAGTAGTAGTAGTAGTAGTATCACTATTATTATCATTGGGCCAGCGCCGAGGTGCAACCAGAAGACTGTCCAGAGGTCACGGGGACGTGCGCGCCTTGGTTTTGTATTGCAGGCAGGCATATCGAAGCACTTGGCGCAGCGGTCTACAGATCGGCTGCAATGAAACGGGCGTGTTATTGCCGGCGCCGGCCGCACGCCTGCACCGATTTGGCGCCTTTGCTGAGCCGCTTTCATGTTCTCCTTTGGCTCCTCGCCGTTCCTCTCCACCTCGCCCCACACTCTCCCCTCCCTTCCTCGCCTCTCTCTTCATTGCTCCCTGCCCTTGCGCCCCGAGTGTCAACCACGATGGACGCTTGCGACCTCCGTGCTCGCCAGCTGGAGAGCTGAGAGCTGGAGGGAGGAGGTGGCAGAAGCGACAGGGCACACTGACGGGGCCGAGGCCCTCCAAAGCCACATCACTCCATGTCCATTTCTCCCCCCCACACTGCCCTCGCCTGGCGTTCTTCGTCTTCAGGCTCCCTTCCCTCGCCCGCCCTCTCCCGGCCGCCTCCGCCCCTCTGGCTACGGTTTTCTGGCAGGCCGAGTGCGTGTTCCACTTTTTCCGCGGCGGCTGCAAGGGCGGCGTCAATTGCCGCTTCTGCCACGACTTCCACCCGCGCAAGAACCCCAAGAAGAACCGGCGGGCTCTGAGGCCTGCGCGGCCCCGCCCGCCCAAGCTCAGCGAAAGGGGGGGATCGCGAGGGTCGGCGCGCCCAGGCGCTTCGCGGCCTGGACCCTGCACGGATTCCTCTGGAGGTTCTCCGTTGTCTTCGAGCTCCTGGGGCCTTGCCCCGGCCCCGGGGGCGAAAGGGGCGGACGAAGGGAAAGGGGCGATTGGGCAATTTGCTGCGTGCAGCTGGTTTCGGCTCCGCCGCCGGGCTCTTTCCTCGATACACAGGCGCCCCCGGCGCTGGGAGGCGTCAGAGAAACCAGCTTCGTGAGCCCCCCCCTTTCGTCCGACCCAGTCAGGAACTCGAGCCAGATTAAGCCCTGGCACGCCTGCTACGAGAGCAGGTGCGCCATCGTGTGGTGTTTACTGTTCCGTGATGCGGTGGGCCCTGCTGCGCGGTAGGTTGCGGTATGTCGTGTGTGCGGTCCGCGAGTTTTTCTTGAGGCTTCGTCAAGGTGTTCGTCGGCGTCATCACCGTCGTCCGCATCCCAGGGCTTCCTTAAATACACAGTGGCAGGCAGCAAGCAGGGCGTCGGAACTCGCACATCATTCCCTTCCCACTGCCCCAACCAGGCCCGCCCAGCCAGCCCCTCCTTCTTCCCCTCTCTTCTCCTCGCCCTCCTCATCCTCCCTCCCTCGTCGTCGTCGGCGTCGGCATCGTCGTCGCCGCCAGGACGTGCCAGCTCCAGCGCCTGATGCGTTGGGGTGTTCCGCCTGCTGCTCGGGGCGCCCCGACGCTCACAGCAGGCTCGTGTCGCGTCGACGAGGCTTCATGGGAGCCTCTTGGGGGGCCTCTCGGGGTTTCCTGGGGGCCTCTTGGGGGCCTCTTGGTTCCTCTTGGGAGCCTCTCCGGGCCGAGGGCTCGAAATGTCAGTTTTGGCCCCTCATCTGGGCACCCTCTTGGAGCCGTCTTGGGGGCCTCTTGGGCCGTCTTGGAGGTGTCTTGGTCCGTCTTGGGGCCCTCTTGGGCCGTGTTGGGTCCCTCCTGGAAGCCTCTGGGCCGTCTTGGGGCGATCTGGGAGGCCTCTTGGGCCGTCTTGGAGCGTCGGGAAGCGGAAAAGGCGAGAACGCCGAAATGTTTCAAAAACCAGTAGGAAATCAGTAATGTTTCTTCTTGCGGCCCTCTTGGGAGTGCTCCTGGAGGCCTCTTAGGGCGTCTTGCAAGGCTCTTGGGCCGTCTAGAGGCCGTCAAGGCGTCTTGGACAGATCGCTCGGCGATTCGGGGCCCTCTTGGACCGTCTTGGAGGCGCTCTTGGCCCGTCTTGCGGCTTCTTTGGGCCCCAGGACCCCCCAGGCCCCCCAGGGGGGAGTCATATTTGACCCGGGACCCCCCGCCCTCCCGGCGGGGGTGGGATCAAAGGGAAGGGGCTTCCCTTCGAGTCATGGGCCCGGGTCTGACCCGGCCCCCCCCCATTGGGGACCCCCCCCTGGGACCCTCCCCCCCCGGGGGAGGGATCAAATGGAGGGTGCTTCCCGTCGAGTCAATAACGTCGTTGCTTAATTTCGCTTTGGCTGGCGCACTTCAGGAGGAGGGCCTAGGGAAGGGGAGTCGGGAGCGGCGACGGGCCCAGCGCTTGATGAGGAAGGCCCAGAGAAAGGGGGGGAGCGGCGACGAGCCCAGGGAAAGGGGGGGCGCAGGGAAAGGGGACGACAGAGACGACGACTACTTAACGAATGACGGAGACGACGACTCGAACGGACAAGCCACTCACACACGGGCTTTGGTCGTGATCTCTCACGATGTTGTATTTCATTCGCAGTGTCGGATCTCAGGGTAAATCGGGAATCTCTGGGAGTTGGCTGGTTTGGAAGTCTGGAGGGCGGGTCAGGCGCCGCGACCGGTCCAGAGCGCTCCGAAACGCTCTGAGAGCGTTCTGGAACGCTCTGGAGCGATTTATCCTCACCCTGGGTCTGCCTCAGGTATCCTGGGTTCGTCCTGCCGTCGCCTTAGACACCCCCTCGGGCAGCTTCGGGCCCGACGAGGCGCGAAAAATGCAGCAGAAAGATTTGGGTCTGGGACTCCAGTCGTGCGTTTTCGAGATGCTACATTTTTGTCGCAACGTTGGACCGCAGGGGTGCTAGAGGCTGAGGGCCCGAGGGGGGCACGGGGATCCTGCACAGCCGAGGGTGCGGTCCTGCCGGGGAGGGAGGCTCGAGAAGCAGAAAGAGGAGGAGGGAAGAGGAGGAGCCCCCGCTCGGCGGCGGATCTTCCGCCTGGTACTGCCGCCAGGGGCAGGGGGTGGGTTCCCCTTACCCAAGACCTCGACGGCCCAGGCGCGCGCCCTTCAAGGCTGGGGAGGCCATCCGTCTTGAATTTTCTTCAGGCGGTGGCGATGGACAAAAGAAGGCCCGATACCATCATCGCCCTGGACCTCCTCTCGTCACGAAGCAACACGACGGACTGATTTTGCAAGTTTTCGACCTCCCTGGCGCCTGCACCAGGCCCTCGGATTGTCACAAACGAGTCGGGATGAGAAACGGGTCCCGGGGAAAAGGTCAACACCTCCGAGGGTCCACGTTTTTGGAGAAACAACAAAACGAACGTCGGAGTTTTGGGTCACGACCAGTTCTACCCCCCTGGTGGGGATGGGTGCTGCGAGCCCCAGAGGAAACGGCTCGACGTCGGAGGTATGGGATCTCGTGATGCATGAGATTGAGGCTCAACGATGGCCAGCGATGGTTGCCATACTCAGCCACAGTCTGGCCACGCCGTCTCGGCCACCGACGATCTGCCAGGTGAGGGTGGCCACTTGCCATGCGTCGACGGCGGTAACGTCACGAGCCTTGCAGCACCTGGCAGGGAGGAGAAGATCTCGGCAGACTATTGGCAGGTCCGGCGGGTGCCTGTTACGGTCCACACGATCGTCGCCCTGATCATCGGCATCACTCTGCGGCTGGTGTTATTCCCGCAAGCTCTGCTTGCGGACAGGGCGAACGCTGGCAGGACAGATTTCCTAATATTCTTCGGGGTCGCTAAGGCGTCGAGCAATTTTGTTGGAGGTGCGTTGGCCGATAGTTGGGGCCGAAGGCCAACGGCCTTGGTGGGCTGGATCCTCGGAGTTCCTCTGACAGCCGCATTGCTCTGGACTGAACTGGTCAAATCGCGTATAGTGTTGGACGTGTCGGACCTCCTGCTGGGTACGATGCAGGGCGTCACCTGGGGTCTCAACATCACACTGCTGATGGACATTTTGGGGCCACGAGGGCGCGGCATGGCCAGCGCTCTAAGCAATGCTGCTGGCTATTTTGGCAGTGCTGTGACCGCGCCTGTCGCGGCGGAGATGGTCAAGGTCACCGGCGACGCTTCCATGTGCATCGCGACTCTCTGCTGCGGCGTGTTGTTGGGTTTCGTGCTGGTCGCCACGGACACGAAGGTCTGGCACAGAGTCGATGTTGCCCGGGAATTGACAGCGCATGTGCGAGCTGATGATAATGGCAAGCCCCCTGTCTGGAGCATAGCGCAGTTTCTTGTACGGGTAGGTTGTGGGAGTTCTGTCCAGGTGTTTTGCCTGATATCTGGTCACACTGTGAATACAACCACCGCAGTGGTTTGGGGCGCGACTGTACAGTGGATGAAAAACGAAGGTGGCGTCAGCATCAGATGTATTGGGTTCGTGGAGGCTTGGTTCACTGGATTGGAGGTCATAGCCATGCTGGTCTCAGGTTTCCTGTCCTATCGTGGTTTGAAGCCTCAGCGGATAGCTGCAGTAACCATGGCGATCATGGCCGTGGGTCTGGGCTTGCTCGCTTGGCAAGCATCGTGCGCGGTCGTTTCGTGGCCAACGCTGCTTTGCTGCACTGGGATGCTCGGTGTGGGCGTCGGCGGTGCATATCCTGCGCTCGAGGCCGCCGTCATCGAACATGTGCCAGAGCACCAGCGTGCCTCTGTGTACGGTGCGTACCGCATGTGGCGAGATCTCGGGTTCGCTTCCGGCGGAGTGTTCACGCGGCTGTTCAGCAATTTTGCATCTGAGGTAACAGGGGTCTGCCTGTGGACTTTAGTCGTTGCGTTTGCTTTCTTGTGCAACGCATTCTGCACTGCTAGGATCGCTCCGGTGCGAGGAGAGCTCGATCAGGGCACCGAGATGCCGCTTCTGGGTTGTTGATGTTCTCTCAGAGCCAGACATTCTCCGATATGTCGTTTTCAATTCTCAGCCCCAGAGCTCCCGAACCCCCGTGCCGGTGGGTAGTTTCTGGCCCTGGATCCGTTGTTGATAGCCCTGGGGCCCGATCATAGGCCTCAAGGCCGAAATCGAGGAAAACGAATTGGAGTGAAAAGAACATGTCGTTCGAGATCTTGGGATGACCCCTGCCATGTCTTTGCGCACTATTGTGCCGACGAGTGTGAACATAAAAAAGCCTCGCCTTTCGGCAGAGGCCGGTGGAGACGCAGCCTGCCGGTGAACTCTTGGTGGGGGCTGGCGGCCCGAGAGACAGAGAGAGAGAGAGCAAGATAGAGAGAGCACACTAAACAGAATGCACAACAGATAACCAACCAAACAAATAATTAATAGCGGTTCACGTTGTGGTATTCCCACAGTTCTCCAGCGCTCGGCCTTCGCGAGGCCAGGTGCGCCGGCCCTCCGCATGGTGCACCAAGGCCTCGGGTGCCGTGGTTTTCACAGAGGTCTCGGCCTCATCCTTGGGAGCAGCTTTCCGTCGCGGCCTGAGCTGTTGGTATCGTCCTGCGGCTCGCACGCAGGGTCCAATGGAGTCCGAAATCACGAGGTACAAATTGCACCAGCATAGGGTATCAGCGTTGCACGAGAAGGCACGGCGTCTGAAATCTGGGCGCAGTGCGGGTTCTGTAAGGCACGGTACATGTTTTGCATTCTGGGTTTGATGCGCGGCATGGGCACAGCACGGCACAACACATGTTTCGTGTTCTGGTATTAGGCGCGGGCACGGCACGGCATGCGGCAATTTGTTTGCATTTTGGGTTAGAGGCAAAGGTGCAGCACCGCACGTCACATGTTTCGCATGCTGGCCATTAGGCACGGCGCGGGCAAGGCGCGGGCACTGCACGGCATTACTTATTTGTCGCGTTCTTGGTTTCAGGCGCGGGCACGGGCACGGTTAGCACGGAGCGGGCACGGTTCGGCACGGCAGACGGGCGGCCATGTTTTGCCTTTTGGGAGGGCACGTCGCATGTTTCGCATTTTGCGTATTATATATATATATATATATATATATATATATATATGCTCTCTTTGCGCGACATGGCACATGCACAGTTTTTGTTTTCTGGGTTTCAGCCACAGCCCAGGCACAGCGCGGGCGCGGCACGGCATGGCATTCGGGTTTGAATTTGGCGCTTTGGGTCTGACCATAGTGCTTCTTACATCAAATTGTGACCTTTTACGTGCCAGTTTTTGCGAAAGCTCATGCCCTTGACGCGTGGAGGGCTGGCCTGGCCCACGTAGTTTCGCTCTACATCAGTTCCCGGACCCCTCCCAGGCGACATCTTGGTAATTTGTTCGAGCCATGGCCACGAACAACGGCAATTACGCACGTGTACGCGGTCAGTTCCGCCCGCCCCCCTTTCCTCTTTCCCCACCACCTTTGTCCCCTTCCTTCACAATTCTTTTCCAATCTCCGACCCCCCTCTGTCTCTCCCTCAATATTTTTTTGTCCGTCCTCCCCGCAGCTATGTCTATACCTCCCCCGACCCATACGTTAATGTTTCCTGGACCCCTTCGTCAGCCCCCCTCGATCACCCTTCCCCCACCCTTTTTTACCCTCTGGCTACCCCGCTTTTCCTGTTCCCCCCACCACAATGTTTGCCCCTCTCTTTGTTCCATTTCCCCACAACTCCATGTTCCTGCCCAACACCACTATATTGTTTCTTTATTTTCCCCACCCTTTTTATTATTTTCTGCCACTTTTTTCCACCTCCCCACCACACTTGTTCATGCCCCCCCTTCCCTCCCCACACAAAATTGGTCCAGCTCCCTTTACCATAGTTTCTATATACCTTTACCAAGCTTCCCATTTTCCCCACCCGACCCCTAATGAGATGTTTCCCATCCTCTGCTATCTTGCCCCCCCGCACAATTATGCATGCATCCCCCACCCCGTTTTCACCTTCCATCGCACTTTTTGTCGCGCCACTCGCGCATGCGTGATCGCGGAGGTCGTTCGGGTACATTCTCCTGCATCTATGGCCCATCTGCGCGAAAGAGCGGCCCTTGGCCAGAGTGGCATTCACTGCGCGGATTTCGGGCGGCGGCGGCAAGGCCAAACCCGAGCGCGCCGTCAGCTACTATCGCATCGCATGCGCAGCGACTGGCAAAGCGCGCACCAAAAGGTCCTTCATGCCAGGAGCCGCTCCTGCGGGTTGCGCCGCCGCCCGCTCGCACACCCCGCCCCCGCAGTCCAGCCAGAGCGACGGCAGCGACACCCCAGATCTCCAACGAGATGCTTCGTTCAATCCCAGCAGGTTTCCTCCACAATGCATCTGGGGCGAAAGTCGATCCCCGGGGAAGGGGTCGGAACCTTGGGGGCCGTGGATTGAAACAGTCACATCGGCAGATGTCTGGGACCATGACGAGCCCAGATCTCCGACGCCGATACCCCTCGACGATGACGACCGTCTCCTCCGAAATCGCAGCTTTGTTGGACGCAGTGCCGGGCCCGCGGGGGGATACCTCGCCCCTTCCCCATGGGGGTGGGGGCCAGCTTCTCGTTCCGAGCCGGCTCTTGATGGCCCCGAGGCAGGGGGAGGGGCATCCGACGACCTACGGCTGAGCAAGGGCACTCGCCTGGGCATCGTTTCTGGATCCTGGATGGGTGGGGAGAGGCGACGCGTCAAGAATTCTTCGTCCGTGCAATAGCTTCTACACCCGCAGACCTTCTGCCGTGACCCTGGGATATCCCGTCGTGACGCGCGCGCCGGCGGCGGGCGGAGGCCGCGCGAGTCGACACCCGCGCCCCAGGCGCTTCATCGCCAACGCCGGCTTTGCCGAGGAGGCCGCGGCCGCCCAAGGGGTGGGTGGGGGCTGCTTGGGGGAGATGGTCCTCTTCATCCTACACCTCCTCCCCATTCTCTTTCTCATCCTCTTCGCCCGCCACTCAGAGTTCTCGCACGGCGCGGCTGCAAGCCTTCATTCGCGATAGCTTCGAGCAGACGCCCAGACTCCACGAGCCACGAGCCTGACCCCGATCCGATTCTCATCCTCCTCCAGGACAAGATCGACTGCACGTAAAAGTGGCCCTTCGCCTGAGAGACATTTGGTGCGGACCCTGAGGGAAGCGGATACGGGGTAACAGCAGACGGGGTAGCAGGAAATGGCCGGTTCGAGGCAATAACCGCCCCCTTTGTTACAGTGCAGTTTTTTCATGGTTTTCGCGTTTGACGCAGCACTTGCCACACGTTGTCCGCGTTAAAATTTATCCGGCTGCTGCACTGCAACTTTTTGTTTTGGGCCCTCTGTTACCCGGTCGGTGGGGCTTGTTTGTAATGTTTTTTTTCAACTAGTTGCAGAGAGCATGCAGTGCAGTTTTTTCGCGCTGCAGAAAAATGGCCGTGCAGTTTTTGGTTACATATGGTCGTTGCAGGTTGTCCGTCTGAATCTTATGGTTGGTCTGTTACTTTGTTTTGGTGTTACCCGATGTAGTTTTCCATGAGACCCGCCGGGACCACACCCAACACTGGCCTGGGTGCTTGCTGTGGCCGCTGGGGGGGGGGGCTGCTCTTCCTCCTCCTCCTCCTCCTCCTCCTCCCTCCTCCTCTTCCCTCCTCCTCCTCCTCCTCCTCCTGCTTCTTCCTCCTCCGTAGCCATTTTGGCTCAAGATGCCTGCTTTGCGCAAGCAGGGAATGGATACCGCTAGTCCGCGGCTAGTTTCCGCCACGCGTGCTGCCCCTCCGCCCGTGCGCGGCGCTCGTGGTTCATGGCGCCCTCTGCTCCTGGTGGACGGCGACAGAAGAAGAAGCTCCCTGGTGACGCTCGCGGCAGTGGGGCTCGTGCTGCTGATGACGGTGCTGAGGTAGGCGATGGTCGTGCCGACGAACGGTCCCGTTCCAGCAGATGCGGCTCTGATGAAGAGAACGATCCAGACATGGGCCCCAGCGGATGGGATTACCATGTCAAGGGCCTCATCGATGGCCACCTCCGCAGCACGTTCGCCTCTTTCAAGAATGAGATCACTGGAATGGTCGCCTCGACAGCCTCCGCTGCTGCCACGCAGGCTGTCGACCCTGTCATGGCCGCAATCCGTGCTGTGGAGGACGCCGTCAAGAACGTTCCAGCCACGTGCCAGCAGAAGGTGGAGGCTTCGCTTCGCCCCGAGCTGGCCGCGATGGAGCGCCGGTTCCAGACACAGCTTGACGGTCTCAATGCCAGAGTCTCCAGCTTGGATTCACGCACTGATAAGATGCATGATGAGCTTGGGGACATGCACAAGCAAATGGATGAGCTGCGCAATGCCTTGGCGCTCGCACATCGTGCCCCGCCACCGCCCAAGCCTCCAGCAGCTGGATCTCACAGAGAGGTGGATGCGACGGTGCTCAAGATTGTGGCCTCCTCTATGGTCAAGCGTAAGGATGTCCACGACTCCATCAAGGCCTGGCTGGACAAGCCCCAAATTGAAGGATGGGAAGTACAGGGAGAAGAACAAGATCGGCTGTTTACGCTGCAGTTCACGGGCCCTGTCGCTGTCGCTGGTCGGCGTGCAGTGCAGGCCCTCGGTGCACTTCGACTGCCTGGCAAAGGCAACTGGATGCGCTTTTCCCGTTCCCGCCGCTTCTGGAGGGTCCACGCAGCTGCACGTTGGTGCCGACAAGAACCCGTTCCAGATCAAGCGCGAGATTGCTGGGAAGAAGATCACGGCCGTCCTGCGAGAGAAGTACCCCGACGCAAAGCTGTTCTTCGACCGCCAGAATGGATGGATCTCTGAAAGCTGGAACCCGATTCTTCGTCCTCAACCGCAGCCAGGGCAGGAGGCTACAACATATTATTGGAATGATGCTGCGCTTGCCACGAGGGGGTGGACCAGGGACGAGATCAAAGCCGCCATCACCCACATCATCACCCCCAATGGCGAGCCCGAGTGGAATCTTTAGCCAGTGCGACGACCTCTTTCTCCCAGAGACTGAAGGTGGAATGTCGCCGAAGACTGGTCAAATCGTTTGCTGTACTTGGAATGCCAGAGTTTTCTTGAGGTGGCGCGGGGTTCAAGCCATGGCCAAAGCCAACTACCTTCATCAAGCTGGTATCACGAACGCCACCTTTGCCATTCAAGAGGTGCACCAAACTTTGGCAGAGTTCCAGCTCGTCATGTCGAGGATTGCACCATCGTCTTCAGTTTTTGGATCATTTGAAGTGGAGCGTGATGGCCACAGGCGTGGTGGCGT